GGTGGGGGCGGAGGTGGGGTGGGGAAGATGCACTCCCACGCTGCTTCCCTCACATTGCACTGTTAGGCCCATAAAGGGCTTCTCTTGAATGGTCTTGCCAATGTTTAAGGGTGAGGGGTGATCTAGTAGCATGAAGGACGAGTTAGCATAGCCACCCGCAGAGCCGTGGAGATGAAAGGGGCGGTTACAGCTAGCCACGGTCATCAGGCCACGCCACACCAGCGACAAGAGAGCCAGCTGCTTGGGAGCCCAAGGGGAAGTGTTCCCTGGGTCAGCCAGGCAAGCTGCACAAGTGGGAAGCCAGCAGCCGGTTGATGGAGGAGGAAGAGGCAGTTGAACAAGAGGGGCCACAGAGCATGAACAAGACGAACCGCGGAGGCAGAGAGGAGGAGGAGCTGAGGACCAAGGGAAGAGAAACTGAAGGCCCTGGTCACAGGAATGCTTCCAGACAGCTGTCAAGCCTCAGATACTGAAGGCTCAGTGGCTGTAAGCACTGTCAAGGTCTGGGGAACCCTGATACCTAAGATCACGCAGAAGCTGCAACCAAGGACTAAGATAGGCAAAGATTTAACACCAGAAAGCACCCCTTGCGACCCCCACCTGCTTGCTGCTGGCAAGCTGACATGCTTGACCAACACCTGCCAAACTAGAGCTTCCTCTCGCCTTTCCATAATTTGCATCTGGTTAGAGCAAAGGGATTCTCCAGCCAGCTGATTGGTTAATAGAGTCTACAGGTCCCAGGAACAGGAACCTCTTTTGAAGACCTCTGAGCTCAACAGTCCCCCTTCCAGGGGCACTGTAACCGGCCTCCAGCTGGCTCCATGGTTTTGAAACATCATGTGATCCCCACTCCACACCCGCAGTGCCCAAGATGCTCCTGCGCCCTCCCGGCCCGCCCAGGGGAGCCTGCTAGTTTCGCACTAATGCATACTCCTTGGGCTCCCAGAGCAGGCGAGGGCAGTGGATCTCTGGCTTCCAGCCAATTTTCTGGTCCCAGCAGAACTCAGGCGACAGCAGCTTGGTGGGCTTGTACAGCCAGAAGAACTTGTTGAGGTGGCTCTCGTCGTGCCAGAGCGCCTCGATGCCACGCTCACGGTCCCGCTGCTGGCCAAGCGCACAGTGGGCCGTCAGCTTGCGCAGCGCCGCCACACTGCCCCCGAACACCGCCGCGTGGTAGTAGAAGTCGCCCTCTCCCAAGCCCAGCGCGGCCGCCGATCGCTTGTCCCGCTCGTAGGGCAGCAGCCACCGCGGCCAGCGGTAGTGCCAGGCGTGCAGCTGCGCCACCAAATCAGACAGCGCCTCGGGCCCGAAGTTACCAGTGAAGTGCTGGTCTACGTCCAGGCAAAACACATAGTCAGCTTCCTGCCCCAGCGGCCCTCCCAGAGCCTCGTGTAGCGTGTGCATGCGCGCCATGGACACGTCCTGCCAGCGGCTCTCTCGCAGCACGGGTTCCACCCGCAGCAGGCGACCCTGGCCCAGGGCTATGTAGGGCACGGCTTCCGGGCGATCAGTGAACACGTAGTACACCACGCTCTGACCCACCATGAAGTGCTGCTCGGCAGATTCCAGGAAGTGTTCCAGGTACTTCTCCAGGTACCTGCCAGGCGTCAGGCCAGAGTTAGTCCTGTCATCCTCCACCCCTGCCCACACCGGGCCAAGCAAACCCCGATCTCCAGCCTTGGAATGGTGGATTAAAGGGGATTGAACTGTCTGTCACTTCTGCCTGGAAGGGAAGAGTTGCCCTGCCCTGTTCCCTTGAATACCGACTTGTTCTGTCTCCTCTGACCCAGGCAGTAACTGAGGATGCTGGACCATCCTTGGAGAGCGGGAAGTGTTGGCAGTACTCTGAGCCTTGTGGAAGGGGGTCCCAGGACCAGAGACTGCTATGATGCAAGGAAGCCTGTGCTGTTTAGGTTTTTTTTTTGTCAACTTGACACAAGTCAGGGTCATCTGGGAAGAGGTAACTTCAATTGAGCAAATGCCTCCATCAGATTGGCCTGTAGGCAATGATGTGGGAGGGCCTAGCCACCTCTAGGTGGGTCCATCGCTGGGCGGGTGGTCCTGGGGTATATAAGACAGCAGGCTGAACAAGTCTGTGGGGACCAAGGCGGTAAGCAGCACTCCTCCATGGTCTCTGCTTCAGTTCCAGCCTCCAGGTTCCTGCCCTGACTTCTTCTCCTGGTCCTTTCGAACTGACTTCTTTCCCTGGTCCTTTCCTCTCAAAGTTGTCTTTAGTCATGATGCTACCACAGCAATAGAAATGTAAATTAATATAAAACCCAAGCCAGCCATGGAGGGAGCTTGTTTGGAGTGAGAGGAATCGGTGGGTTTTTGATTGTTCATCTTTCTGTTGAGACTCACTCCGCTGGTGGTGAGGAGCCCTTCCTGGGAGGTCCTGAATTCCTGACTGTAGCAATTTATTTTAAGCCATAATGTTTGTGGCCATTCTTTACACGGACAAGCAGAGTGCTCAGAATACTGACAGTTTGCATCCCTGGTAACCTGGGTCACCAACCGGAAGTTTGAAGGACTAGTAATCAAGCCTACAGCTTAGAGTTGGGGGGCAGACTCTTGACTTGCCTATGCTCTGCTTCTGGCGGACCTGTGGAGATCTGGACTCACAGGTCAGCATCTCAGAGTGTCGGATTCACACCAGGAAGGGGTCCTGAAATCTCTCTTTCTGGAGCCTCTGGCCCCTAGAGTATTCTCTTGTCCCCCTCACGGCTGCAGGCACAGAGGCTGGAGGAGCTGCCACGCCTAAGTGGTCCAGCCCATCTGTCCCCTTCCTTACCGTTGGGCCAGCCCCGTGGATCTTTCAGCCACCTTGGGTTACAATGACCCCAGAGGTTTTCTCTCCCTTATGTGAGGTTTGGGATGCAGTTAGAGAAGAAACCTTGAACAGTTTTCTGGGGCATCCAGTGGCCCAGAATTCTTTGCCCAGGGTTTTGGGTTTCTCTTCCTGGGTGGGCATTCTCAGTTTAGTCCGCAGGAGGCTGGCCCACCTCCCGAGCTATCCTGCACTCCACTGCTCTGTGACTTAGGGCTGTAGGTCCGATTCCACAGGCAGCCAGGAGTCTCCTTCGCACCACTTTGGAAAGTAGCCGCCACCTTGGACCGTCTCTCCCCCCACAGTGGGAGGGCAATGTCCTGTCTTTTGTCCCCCCCCACCTTCCCAGCTCCTCCTACACCCGAGGCCCATCCTTTGCGAGCCTCATCTGCCACCATTTTGTCCTCCTCAGTCACCTGCTTCTGTGGCTGCTCCCTTGACATGGTCACCCGGACTGTGTCCCTGTGTGGGACCCTCATGCATCCAGCTCGCTTACCCCTCTCTTTCACCCACAAACCGTCCCGCCTCACTCAGCTCTGTGATCTGGCAGTTGCCTGTCCTGTCACTCTCCAAGTCCACCTGCGCTCATGTCCTTCTTAACATAGCCTGGGGTCACCCCGTTCCACATTCCCAAGCTCCCAGCCCTTCTCTTCATCAGGGTTCCCTAGCAAAGCCTCACCGCTCCTGTGTCCTCTACCCTGAGCCCCTTCCTTTAGCCAGAGGCTAGCCCCTTTTCTCCTCATTAGCCCGAGACGATCTTTTTTGTCCTCACTACAAACCCGGTGTCTCGGTGTGCGCCAGACCTACCCCAGGCATGTTCCTTTTTAGGAGTAGTTCTGAGCCCTGGCTACTGGGCTGGGGGGCTCTGGCATTGCTGTCGAGGAAGGAGACAGGACTCGTGCGTTCGTGCTCTCCCGAGGGTCTGAAACAATGGGTGTGGCCTGTGGCTGCGCTAGGAGTTCCTATGGCGTGGAACAAGGCTCCGTGAATCCCTGTGCCCACCCTCCTGCTCGCTACCTAGCAGCGCGGTCCCCTCCCTGGGCCTTACCTGCCTACAGCAAAGACCGTCAGTCCAATGGTGAGGTTCTGCCGTCTCGCCTCTTGCTCGGCTTCGTGTGGGTCAAAGATGCCATCCCAAATAATCGGCGCTCTCCAAGAGGTACAGGTCAGGACTTCAGGTCGGGCCCTGGTCATGAGCACGAGGAGCAGGAAAGACAGTTCTGTCCACCCAACTGCTTGGCACCTGCTCATTGCCACGCCCCCATTGCTCGGCGCTAGGGACCCACAGACCTGTCCCTAAGAACCCCTAGCTTAGAGCCAACCAAACACAGACGGGGGGATGTGTGACCTGGTGGAGCTCCTGGCCTCCCAAAGACAGAATGCCTGGGTGTGGGTGGGAGAGGCCAGAGCCCTGGGGCAGACCTGTATAGTCTGTGGACATTCTGAGTGGGAAAGTGGTGGCTGCTTACCAGTGCCGCAGGCCACCCGTGAAGTTGTCCCCCAGCAGTGGCCTTGTGTCTGTGGGGCAGATGCCCATGGGGACTAAGCCTTCTAAGTACCTGTAGGTGCGATAAACAGGAAGGGGCATTTGGCATGTTCCTTCTTTGGTGAGGAGAGTCAATAGAACATTTGCCCAGGCTAAGCCAGCTACCACCCTCCTTCCCTCCTGGGGGCCCCTGGGAAGATGCTCTTTAACCCTGGCCCTGGGGGAGTACCTGACAATATGGAGCCCGTATAGGTACAGGCCTAAGACGCCGAATGCACACAGGAGGAGCTGCCACAGGAGTCTCTTCTTGGCCCTGGGGGGGTGGGAATGGGAGGGCTTCAGTGACGTACTTCACAGGAGAAATCATTGCCTGATTTTCCCGCTTCATTGGCTTTCTGAGTAGGAACCTGTTATTCTAGTCACACAGCACAGACATTCAGAGAGGATTCAAGGGTTTGCCTGGCACAAAGCCTTTGCAGTTCTGCATGGAGGTGGCCAATGGTATCAGTCTCTCAGATGAGGTGGTCTGTGCTGGGAAGGCACATACAGATATCACAGCCTCTTCCTCCTCTGACTCCCCCACAGATGGTGGCACAGTGGACAACCTGTCCTAGGCCTTGCAGGCGTTGCTGACTATTGTATCTTTCTGGTAATATATAACACATATTATATCTCGGAGTTTAAAGACAACATGTCTTCACAGTACTAGGGATCAAACCCAGGGCCTCACACATTGGACAGCAAACTATCATTGAGCTGCAGCCCCTCTTAACTCCCCCCCACCCTGCCCCCTTCATCTCAGTACTTAAAGAAGTTCTCATCCTCTTCCCCAGCTGCCCCTCATGCCTTAGGCTGGAGAAGCTCATCTGCCTAGCAGGATCTAAGGAGCACTGAGTCTGGATTTTGGTTTGGACAGCAGTGTGGCAGGGTATGAGTTTAGGTGGGCCTGGAGAATGGTAACATTCAGGTTTGCTGTGCTTAATGAGTTGGGGTGAGGTTGATCTTGTGGGGTGAAAGTCCAAGAGGAGAAAAGAATTTGTGGTTTGTTGGGGGGGGGATGGGGAGAAGAGGGACAGGGGGGGGGGGGGATGTCGGTGGTGGCCTGTTCTCCCTGGGCTAGTTCCTCCAACCAAGCTCAAAGGTCCTGGCTTGGAGGGAGTAGGTATTGAGATTTGTTCACGGCTAGCTGTCTTCTGTAAGAGCCCCATAGGAAAGAACAGATATGGGGACCGGGTGCCTGTTTGGAACTCTGGTCACTTTTTATTAGCAAGGCTGGCCCTCTGGGCATCAGTCTTGATTTGTGAGATGAAGTAATGAGAATAGCATCCTTGGAGGCTGAACCTGATCTTGGAGTCAATATCAGCTAGATGACCGGAACTCGCTGAACTTCAGCTGCTAAGGGTACACACTGATAAAGCTTCCCACTTACGGTCTCTTCTGATAATCTCTTATCTCTAGTCTCTGCCTGCCCTGTAACTCCCCTGCCAGTTTCTATGGCCTCTTTCAGGAAGGCCACCTCTATCAGATTCCCTTATCACTTGGAATGGCTCCACACCTATGAACCTAGGATTTGCTCAAAGCAGGTGTGGGTACCCTCTTACCTGCATGCAGCACCACCTCCCACTCCCCAAACCCCCCCACCTGCATGCTCACCTACCGTGGTAGTCCCCAGGTTGGCTTCCCTTGGCCTCTTTGTCTCTGTCCTTCCTGTTTTCTGTAGCCTCCATGTGACCCTGGCCAGCTCAATCCCGATTCAACCCCCAGAGCCATCTCCTAAAAGACCAGCCTCGGGTAGCAAGGCTTGTGTCACATCAGCAGCTAAATCCCCAAAGGGGAAAAATGCATTTAGTAGTCAAATACATGGAAAAATGTTCACCCTTACTACTAGGCAAAGACATACAAATTAGAACCCAGTAGCAGGTTTTGTTTATAAAATGATTACAAAAAAAAAAAAAAAGCTATGATAAAAATAGCCAGGTTGCCAGCATACCATGTTAGAAAGGGGGCTCCTGGCTTGCTGGTGGAGTCCTGGGCTTTGGGGGGAGCTACTTAGCTTTCAGTACTGTGGGTTGACAGCCCCAGGTCAAGATGTTGGTCAGTGTTGGCTTGGCTCTGCTCTTGGCATTATATTTTGGTCACAGTGTGGCATCAAGCTTTGTGCTGGGTCCAAGATGTCAGGGTAAGTGAGATGGTCGGAAAAGCCATCTTCAGCATGGGGGGTGAGGATGATGTGGTCACACGGAGGAACGTGGAGTGAGAGCAGACCTCTGCACAGTGAACCCTGGGAAGAGGCTACACACAAGGACTAGTCGGGGTGTGGTACATCAGCCTGGGAGGGGAAGGAGGAAGTCAGGAGGCTTTCCCGGACTTCCTGGAGGACTGGACCTGTCAACCAGCTTCAGAGAACTTTTAGATAGGCATGTTTGGAAAGGCTAGTCTCCAATAAGGAAACACCAGTGCACCCAGGGAACTCCCATTACGGAAAGGTTCTGTGTGAGAAGGTGTTGGCGTAACTCCATTTGAAAAAAAAAAAAAAAAAAAAGTGGAGTTACTCAGATTGAACTTTGGACCTAGACATGGTGGCTGGGTGGGAGGTCATGACTGGAAATCCAGTTAGGGGCCAGGAGTTACTGGGGTGTGAGGCAGAGCGTTGGTGGCTGAGTGGAGAGGAACAAGTAGTGGAGGGCTGAACGATGGGCAGGGTGTGGTCGTTGATGGCAGAGATGTCTGTATTTGTATCTGTCTGGTTGGGGGTAAGGCCTGGAGCTCCCCGGAGAGTTCTGGGGTTCACCAGGAGGCCAGGAGTGTCATGGAGAAGAGCACAGGGGTGGAGGAGGCCAGCCCAGGCATTGAGTGCTGGGTCTGTCTGTGCCAGGTGACAGGGTGGAAGCTGATGTAAGTGGGAGCTTGTAATAAAAAAGGCGTGGAGGGATATGGACTATTTTCCTAAGGCTGGGCTCTAAAGAGCAGACAGATGGAAGCTGAAGAAGTCAAAGATTTGCAGTTGATGGAGACATGGTTTCCTTTGACAGCTGCTGCCACACCTGGCTAACACCTGGCTAACACCTGGCCTTTTTTTTTTTTTTTTTTTAAGTGGGTTCTGGAATCAAATTCAGGTCTTTATAAAACTGCGTTGATTTTTAAATGAAGAGATAGAACACCTCTGGCTAACTGCAAGATAAAGCCCACATCTCTTAGCAGGGCTGACGGAGCCTTCAAAACATGGCCTGTGCACTGTGGTGCCCACCGGCGTCACCCTCGCTCCCTTCCTGTCCCTGGTTCTCCAGTCCACGCAACAGGCAGTCCGAGGATGTTCTAGCAGGACTTGAAAAAGCATGTGGTGCCTGGCGGAAGGGCGGCAGTGCTGGCTGGGGAGCCTGACTGATGTCGCTTTCAGTGTCCTGGACCCCTGGAGAAGGAGTGGAGAGAACTGACTCCCTATGTCTGTCCTCTGACCTCCACATATGCACTATAGCACACTCACGCAGACACACTTACACACACACACACACACACACACACACACATACACACACACACACACCCGTAATAATTTTTTTTAATAAAAAGAATAAGTCTTTAAACAAAAAGAGAAGCAAAAGGAAATGTGTATTTGTAGGGAGGAAGGGGACTAAGAGAGGAGAGAAGACAGATGTGAAATATGATGACAGGTCCGTCCGAGAGCGCCATTGTGAAACCTGATGTGCTGTGTGCTAGCTAAAAAGACTAAAAGACTAATAGAAAGCTATAGGACAAAAAGAAGACATGGATGTAAGGGGCCCAGCATGGACTCGGGGGACGCACTCTGTGTGTCTCACAGCAGAGGTCAGTGTGGCCGGTGAGAAGCTTAAGTGATGCTTACACACTGGAACAGAGAGCAGACCAGAACTCCATGGAGAGGCAGGTCTGTAGGATGAATTGCTAAACAGTCTTATAAACAAAAAAACCTCAAGCCAGGTATTGGGGTGGAAGCTAAAAGATCAGAGAAACAGAGTGAGCCACAGCCAACCTCACCTTGCCAACTCCTCAGCCGATCCTGTTTCCATGAATCCTCAGACTGAAAGCCTCTGAGTCCTCACCCCCGAGGGTCTCAATTGAAATGCTTAAAAGCCTCTAGTTCCTGGTCCTTACGCCTTATATACATTTCTGTGTCCTGCCATATTACTTCCTGGGATTAAAGGTGTATGTGTCCTTCCCAAGCAAAGACATGAGATCTCAAGTGCTGGAATCAAAGGTGTGTGCCACCATGCCTGGCTGTTCCCAGTGTGGCCTTGAATTCACAGAGATCCAGATAGATGTCTGCCTCCTGAATGCTAGGATTAAAGGCATGTGCTACCACTGCCTATCCTCTATGTGTAATCTAGTGGCTGTTCTGTTCTCTGACCCCCAGATAAGTTTATTGGGGTGCACAATTTATCAACCACACAGGTCTCACTTCTGTGGGAGGAGCCTCTCTTCTAGTGTGTCCATGTGCCGACAGGCATGGCATCCGTAAGAGCTGCGTTAGTGTTTACTGGGGAATGCTAGGACAGCAAAACTCCCTAGGATCAAATGTGATCCACATGGGAGATTTTACATTTTATAGTAGCCATGTTAAAAAAGCAAAGCAGATGAAATTAATTTTTTAACAATATTTTAATCTATGCCAACATATCCAAAATGTCCTTTTAATATGTGACCAGTATGAAAATTGACACATTTCCTTGCCTGTTTTTTCTAAGTCTAAATACTAAATCTAATTTCTGTTTTCGACTTAACACAGCATACTTTGGCGGGGGCGGGGGGGATCAGTAGCCACAGGCTGCTGCTGGCTGTCATGTAGGGATTACATAGGTGGATTTAGGGGACACATCAGATTGGTGATGGGGGTCAAAAAGTTCCAGGGAGAGAGGCGGGACCTTCTAAAATTGTTCTTGACTCAGTGTCCTTCCACTGTGTCCAACTCTGCACGAAGGCTTTGGCCCACTGTTGATTAGTGCACACCTTCTGTAACGGAACAGGCTGTATTTCCAGCCTGCTGGTAGAGCAGTGGTCACAGGTATCATGTATCCCCTAGACTGCTGTGTCTGCCCGGATGTCCCCCGCATACTTTAACCTCACAGCATCGCATCTGCAGTTTGCCCGTGCCTGCCCATCCCACCCCATCTTCCACGTGTGCTCCCGTGGCCCCAGAACCCCTTTCTCCTTAACAATGGCTGTCTCCGGGTTCTACTGCTTACAGGCACCCACCTGCTCCATCCTCTCTGTCCCTCTGTTTCACATCTGGATTTGTGTAGCAGCTTCGCAGTCAGGCTGCTGGGTTCCACCTTTGAGCCCCACCATTGAGTTTCCTGGGTTTCGGTGACTCACTGGGATTGTCACCCCGGTCCTTGACAGACCACTCCCCCACCGATGTCACTTGTTTTCCAGTTCCTTGACATCTGGTTCCCCTTCCTACAGCTCTGCCTTCACCAAACCTCCCCTTTACCTCTTGCTTAATGTCTGCCTTAGGAACTCTTCGTTGCCCCAGCAGACTTGAGAGTCTTGGTACAAGTCCCAGAACCTGCTTCGTAACTGGTGGCATTAACATCAGTTGTTAGAAGTGAATGAAGTAACGAATTGTGGCTTTAACTCCACTCTCTTTCCCCAACTCATGGTTACTCCTTTGCCTAAAACTCCATTTGCTCCGGGAGTCAAGCCTGTGCTTATTCCTAATCCTGGGCACGGATGGGGCCAGAAACTCTGCAGAGAACACCCCCAGGTCTTGGTGAAGTCTGACCACAGTGCCTGGAGAGGAATCTGGATTGTTTCCACTCCATCAGCGAGGAGACTGGGTTTCAGGTGAAACCATTTTACTCGGGGAAGAGGCTGTAGGTGCCGGGGCTGAGCCTTGACCTACCCAGTGTGACCCCCAGCTCCCCTCACAAAGGTCCCTGGATCCTCTGACTGGCATGTCTCCAGCTGGTGTGGTTTCTGAGAAGCCTGCCCCTTCCCGCTCTGTCTGCAGCCCTCTGAAGCAAGGAAAGGCTGGCACGGACTTCCTTGTCCCCAGTGGCTGGTCCACATTCTTAGCCAGTCACCTCCCCTGTCTTCTCACAAACCAGAGTGGGGAAACCACTGATTTTCTTGGGCACTGGACCTTGGTCTGGGCACCCAAGCAGAACCGGCCCTGAGTGGCTCAAGTTGGACCACACAGCTAGGTGAGGGAGGGTGCTGGGACGCAGAATGGGGTGGGATGACTGTTCGAGATCGACCATCCTTCCCCTCTTGGGCACCAGTTTAGAGCTTTACTCTAGAGTGCCTGTGCGACCTGTTCCTGACATTTCTTGGTCAGTTTTGCTGAAGGACCTGTGGGCTCCAGCTCATTAAGCCCGGTTCCTTCGCCCCTCTCCCTGCCTTCAAGAGAGTTCTCAGATACAGGGGGAGGAGAGTGCAGCCTTGAGTCCTGGCTTTCTGTCTCACCCAGGGGACAAAGGAAGAGGAGCGCCCCACAGTGTCCCTCTCTTTGCTCCCTCCCATCCTTGTTTGTTTTTCCCCCTTTATGAGACATCGTTTTTGTGTGTGTAGCCCTGGCTGTCCTGGAACTCGCTGTGTAGACCAGGCTGGCCCCGAACTCAGAGACCCACCTACCTCTGCCTCCTGAGTGCTGGGATTAAAGGCGTGCGCCACCACCTCTGCCAACACCACCAGGCCACCTCTTGTTCTTGGAGCCACATTTTCCCTCGGCAATTCTACCACCTGGCTGAACCCCTCTTGGGTCAATCAGCCTGGGGTGTATACTTGTACAACCCACCTGGCAGGCCCTGAGCCCACTCACCTGAGTCCCTTGAGAGCCATTGGGAGAAGTCAGTTGTTGTGAAATCTTTTCATACCGGAGAGGTTGAAGAAATGACATCCGCAGTAAAAGTGACAAGGTATGGGGACAAAGCAGTTTCTGCCTGCCTCCCAAGCCACACCCCCAGAAACAATTTAGGTTGGACTATCAATAAACTCAGGAACCTGGAGGTGAGGGTTACCACAGATCCTAGGGTGGGGTGGGGCTAGCAAGCCCTTTGGGACCAATCATTTAGAAGAGAGTGGAGGAGTGAGGTCAGACTGACCCATGGGAAGACCTGAGGCAGATGTATGGACTTCTGTTTCCTCCCTTTATTTCTGGGGGGGTCTAGAATCAGGGTACTGTATCCCCACCCAGGAAAAGTCCTTTAAGGCACTGAATACCAGTTAAAGCAAAAGAGCACTGGGCACTGTGACCTTGGGCAACCTCACTCCTCGTGATCCCTTTGCTTCCCTAGAAACATGCCTGTCCCTAGGTTACGTCACAGAAGATATGGCTGTGTGGTTTACACTGGCAGTATTTTTTTTCCCCTCCAAGACCAGGTTTCTCTGTGTAGCCCTAGCTGTCCAGGAACTCACTCTGTAGACCAGGCTGGCCTTTAACTCAGAGATCTGTCTGCCTCTGCCTACTGAGTGCTGGGATTAAAAGTGTGCACCATCACACCTGGCAGAAACAGTTTTTTAAACTGTGGGTCATGATCAAACATTTGTGAAAGTCTATGTAGCGTCAATACCAGGAACAGTTACATATTTAAGAACATAACTTCCAAATTTACAGCAGCAGCCAGAGTGTTGCTAGTGTTACAGTGTTACTCACCCCTGTGATCCTAGCACTCGGGAGGCTAAGTCCAGATCACCTGAGACTACATGAAACCTTCTCTCAAAACACAAAAACCAACCATGAGATATGTTAGGTCCTTTCACCTGAAGTGATGGACAACTCAGCTGACTTAAATTCACCAATTTCTGAGTAGCCTTGGCTTCCTCTCCATCATGTACTTAAAAGCAAACTTGAGTGGGACCTGGTGTAATCGGAATATTTCCTGTGTCCTGGCCTGCCACGTCCTCATGGTCCCACAGCTGCTCAGACCCAAATGAACACACAGAGGCTTATATTAATTACGAACTGTATGGCCCATTGGCTCAGGCTTCTCGATAGCTAGATCTTACATCTTAAATTAACCCATTTCTATAAATCCATACTTTGCTATGTGGCTCGTGGCTTACTGGTATCTTTACATCTTACTTCTCATGGCAGCAGCTGGCTGCTCTTCTCCTCTCATTGGCTCTTAGCCCAGCTACCTCACTTCCTTGTCACTGCCTGTCTGTACAGACCTTCAGGTCTCTATGGTTGGTACATTAAAGGCGTTTGTCACCACGCTTGGCTCTGTTCCCTAGTGTGTCCTTGAACACACAGAGACCCTGCCTACCAAGTGATCAGATTTACCCTGCCTATCAAGTGATCAGATTAACAGCGTGTGCTACCACTACCTGACTTCCATGTTTACTTTAAAAATAGCTGGCCTTTTCCCCCTTGATCTCCAGGCATGTGTTATTAACACACAAATAAAATATCACCACATTTCAGCACAAATATAATTATCACCGCATTTCCCTTTTTGTCTAATAAAAATAAAAAATAATAAAAAAGCTATAACTAATATAAGGGAAACTTTACTTGGGTCTGAGCTGCAGCAGACCAGGCCGGGCAGGGGCAGGCAGCTGTCCTACATGCATACAGAATGAATTCAGAGCTTTTTAAAAAGAGCAACTTCACACAAACATTAAATGGTAACTGTTTGTTACCTGGACAAGGACTACATAAACTTCCTCTCTCTTCGAGGACAAAGTCTGCTCTAGGACTGGATGTTTGCAAGGTCATCACTGAATAGCAACTGTCACCAGCTAAAAGTTGTAACATGTGGGGCTGGAGAGATGGCTCAGTGGTTAAGAGCACTGACTGCTCTTCCAGAGGTCCTGAGTTCAATTCCCAGCAACCACATGGTGGCTCACAACCACTTGCAATTAGATCTGGTGCCCTCTTCTGGCCTGCAAGGACATGTGCAGGCAGAACACTATATACATAATAAATAAATAAACCTTAAAAAAAAAAAAGTTGTAACATGTATTCTCACTTGTTAACGTGATCACTATGAACTTCCTTTCCTCAGTTCTGGCATACCATCCAGTTGTCGTGGTCACTTGACTGACAGTACAGATGTACTCTGAGAGCTGTTTGGTTTGGTTTTGTGCAGTGTTGGGGACTGAACCCGGGGGTTTCTGCCTGCTAGGAAAGTGCTCTGCCACCGAGGCCAGCCCTAACCAGGAAGTGAGCTTCTCTCCTGGGTGACCCAGCAACACCGGACCCAATGACAGACACTGTCAAATCCTGCTCCCTGTTATCAGCACACACTGCAGCCAACAGTCCCCAGACCTGTCCCAGTGTCTGTCCAACAGACAGACAACTCTGTTAGTGTAGAACAGATGCCTTCAATGTTCACTTCCTAAACATGCATCTTATTAAACAAGAAAATCTTCTAAGAATCGGCACCTTCCAAAGGTGAAAATCCTACTGCTGTGAGGGAAAGAGCCACCTAACTGGAACTACCTTCAAAAGGTCATTCTCGGAACTATCAGGGGCCACCTATAAACCACCGCTTAGGAAAACACCAGCCTTCCTCTTCCCAGCATTCTCCTTGTCTGCTTATCCCACCTATACTTCCTGCCTGGTTACTGGCTGATCTGTTTTATTAAACCAGTGTACAAAAGCACTATTTTTATCACAGCATTCTGGTACTTTTTTTTCCAAGGAAAATGGGGTCCAAGTGGTAAGACTGGCTATCCAGGCTGCTTCTCTACACAGCCTACAGAAAGCAAATGGACAGGCAGAAGGCGCTCTCGAGTAGGGGCCTCCCTGTGGCTCATTCCACTCAGACTACATTCCCCATCAGCTTCCCTAAGTGCCCCACTCCTGGGGCACCCACTTCCCAGGACTTGGTCTCCCTGGAGGATTAACCAGTGTCTCTTCCAGGGGGTAATGAGGGGGTAACTTCCCTCAGTCTGGCCAGCCTTCATCTCATCCGCCCCCTTGCTGTGCCCTTACATATATTACCATTATTATTTTATACTCAGATACTACTTGCTATCTTTCCCCTTCGGAAGACTTAGATGTCCCTTCCCTACCTATCCCTCTATAGTGTGATTAGCATACAATGCTTGGCAAGTGCTGAGTGACCAAAGCTGGCCCCAAGTCCGAGATCTTATGAACACAGAGCAGCTTCATCAGATGCATCAGCTGGAGGTGGAGAGCCTGGGTTCTGGCTCAAGTGTTACTGACGACGTTGGCTTTCCACGTGGCCTTGGTGGAAAAGCAGTGAAGGAGGCGCAGAGCTGAAGAGGCCCTGCACTTTCACTTTGAGGGGTGTTGGTTTGGGGTGAGGGCAATGAAATGATCCAGTCCTAGCCAGGTGAAATGGCCATGCTGCCCAGTTAAGGCAGCCGTCCTTCCCCAACCCAGCTCCCGTTCTTTTCCTTACCCATGAACAAAAATCCAGGCACACAGGCATCCCTGGGAGAAAGCCACAGAACAGACAGATTTTAAAGATTTATTTTTTAAAAACAAAACAAAAAGGTTAAAAAAGTCCTTCATTTCCAACCCTGCCTGGGGGTACGGGGAAGGGGGCAGAGCAAGCTGAGAAAGTGCCTGCCCCTCCCGGGAAGAGTCTGACTTCCCAGAGTTGGTAAGGACAGGGCAAGTCAGAGGCGGCCCCGGCCCTTCCTTAGGTAGCTGTTACTGCTATACAAGTTTTACAAGCAAGTGTGGACGTGGAAGGCCAAAGGCTGCTCCCACAGTGCCTCCTGCCAGTCTTCAGTCACACACTCCTTCCCAGGCGGGGGTGTGTGTGTGTAAGGGTAGGCAGGCGGCTCAGTCACGGGAGGCCCAGGCTTTGGGCCACACTTTAGCCCCTGTAGCTTCCTATGTTTTTCTGCCAGCCAGCAGGACACACTGCCAGTTTGGTGTGAGGAGACCTTCCCAGGGATCTCCTGCCATCTGGAGGGGACCTCTAATCTCCAACTCTTGGGGTCTGCCCTTTCCTTCCATCCCCCAGCCTCAGGCTGAGTGGAGCCCAGGACAAAGCACTGAGTGGTTGTTTGCTACAAAACACCTGGAGATGCCAGAGGGCAGCTCACGCCTGTCACTCCAGGCTCCCAGTCACACAGTCATACACACAGCGTTAAGGCGTCTGTGCCAGCAGGCATGGCCACACTGGGCCCAGCTTCTCTCTCTCCACCTGCAGAGGGTACAGGGGTAGAACCCCTGGATGCTATGGAAACAGGCTGAAGGGGGAGAAGCTGCCAACAGAAGGTTAACCTGGCCTGGAGAAAGAAGGGAGAGGGGAGAGAAGACAAGGGCTTTCAAGACCTCTGTCCAGGCCTGCTGGCTGCCCTTGGAAGTAACCCAACTCAGGTTGGGGAGCCCTGACCATAAACCCCCTGGAAACGGGGGACAGAGAAAGGGTTAGAGGGGGGCTAGAACATGGGGACTTTGGAGGAAGCCAGTGCTATAAGTATTTACAAGCGCAAAGCCCCGTCTTCTGTACCACCTACCTCTCTCCCCTTCCCACAGAAATGGCCCCTGAGAGCCACTGAAGAGGCACGCAGACCTCCTCACAGCTGCACCCCTAGGGAGAGCCCCTTCCCTACAACTGGCCCTATCTCGGGCGCCTCAGGAATGTCTGTGTGGCTCTGCTCCATCAGGAGGCGGCGCCCACCTGGGGCTGGAACCCTGGCTGCCCGGTGGTGCACGGGCGGGTGGGCGGCAGAGACTCTAGGAGTCCTTGAGCATGCTGATGCGTGCATAGATCTTGAGGGCAGGCCCCAGCTTGATGTTCATGGCACTCATCAGGTGGTCCTCCTTGAGCAGCAGCAGGGCTTGTCCGTCAATCTCCTGGGCACGGAACTCCTCTGCGATCTCCTGGCACCCTGAGGAAGAGCATGGACAACAGCAGCAGTTAGAGACAAGCCCTGGCTCAGGGAAGCCTCACATGGTAACTCAAGGGCAGTACTGCTGTTCTTGGCTTTCAGCCTGATGGAGCCAGGAAGTTAAGATGTGGCCTTCCTTGGGCACACCCTGGGCACACCTCTCCCTCCACTAACCACTGTCCTAGGTGTTGGGTTGGTACAGAGGGCAAGCATGTGGCCGCTGAGGCTTCACAGAAAGGACAGCAGCTTTTCCCTTCCCTTACCCTTGCATGTTAGTTAGTTTGGAGCCAACTGACTTCTATGTCAGAACGCTCCATCAGCCACCTCTGGAGAGATGCTGGGGGACAGCAGTAGAGGCCTGTTGTTATGGGACTGAGCTCCTTGGAAGTGGACGCCAGCCCTGAACACAGCCAGCTGCTCTGGCTGACTTCCTCAGAGAGACTCTATACGAGTCCTCAACTGGAGCCACAGCTGAGCAACTGCAAATGCCTGACCCCACAACTGTGAGAAAATGAATGAGTCACTACTGTTTAAGGATAAGTTCTGGAGTGACCTGTCTTATAACAATATATTGATGATATAGATTTTGGTGCCTGAGAGAGAGGTGAGACATTAAAGAACTTGGAACATGCAGGGATGGCCTTGTACTGGAGCCAGCAGCATATAGGACACAGAGTAGCAGTGACTGCTAAGGTGATCTGGGATCCTGAGAAAGAGTCCCACAGCCCAGGAGGACACTGCTGGAAACTTATGAGAGAGAAATGGAACTACTACAGGGGGCTGGAAGGGCTGGGATTCAACTGCATCCTGCTAAGAGGCAGCAAGTTTAACAGCACTCAGCTGGGGACGTGAAGTGTCAAGTTCCCAGGGAGCAGAGGGGTCTGAAGACATCTTCAGGCGGAAGGGTGAGGGTGCTGCCTGGCTTCTTGTTGGAAGGAAGAGGAAGGGATGGTAAAGAAAAAGTGGTTCTGTGCACCATGGCCGTGTCTGATGGTTCAGGAAGCCCCAAGCCTTTCAGATGGCCAATGGTATTGGGATTAGAAAACAGTTTCCAGCCAGGTGGTGGTGGTGCACGCCTTTAATTCCAGCATTTGGGAGGCAGAGGCAGGCAGATCTTTGTGAGTTCGAGGCCAACCTGCTCTACAAAGTGAGTTCCAGGACAGCTAGGACTGTTAATAGAGAAGCCCTGTCTTGAAAAAGAAAAAAGAAAAAAACAAACAGTTTCCAGCCAGGTGGTAGTGGTGCACACCTTTAACCCCAGCACTCAGGAGGCACAAGTAGGCAGATCTCTGAGTTGGAGACCAGCCTGGTCTACAGAGCAAGTTCTTAGGACAGCCAGGGCTACACAGAGAAACTCTGTCTCAAAACAAACAAACAAACAAACAAACAAACAAAAAAAACCCACACACACACACACACACACACACACACACACACACAAAAAAAACCCAAAACTAAACAAAACAAAAAAACCATCAAATCAAAACAAAAGACACCCCCAAACCAAACCAAACCCCAGGCTCCTGCAGACCTAACGTGATACTGGGGAGGAGAAGATCTCTCCATGAGGTTTGTAGGCCAGCTTCAGAGATTCTGATCAGTCAAAGCACTCCTAAGAACCCTGAGGGCTCTAGAAGAAGCCCACCATTACAGAACAGCTTATGTGAAAGAGGTCTGGGAGTTTTTGTTTGTTTGATGGAATGAACCCCAACAAGACTCAGGGACTATAAAGACTTTAAGAAAATGATACTGTCAGAAGTATTGCTAGGTGAGACTGCAAAGCTCAGCAGAAACAAAATAAAAAGCAGGGATTACAGTGAGCACTGTAATTTAAATTGTTCAACACTTAGCTGCCTTTCACAACAGGAGGGTTTATCTGAGGGGGACCAAGCAAGGATGGGTAAGAGTCACTCCAGGCTTTGAATCCTCAGAGGAAATGGTAACAAGGGCTGCCCAGGACTGGTGTGGGTCAGAGCTGCCTGCATGTTTCCTTTCTTCCCTCAGTTACCTATTAGAAACTTAGGGTGTGGTGGGCAGGAGACAACCTGTCTTAGTTCTCAGATCTCTAGACTAGGGACCGCACCTGCACAGCAGGCCAGCGCTCTCCATGCCCAGACCTGACTCAAGAAAATGCCTCCAGAAGATCAGGCTGTAGGCAAGTGTGTGGAATATTCCTTTCCACTGTGTGAATATATGTTGCTGTGATTGGTTTAATAAAGAAGCTGACTGGCCAACAGCTTGACAGGATGAGGTTAGGTGGGAGAACCAGACTAGACACTGGGAAGAAAGGTGGAGAGAGAGGAGTTGCCAGCCAGCCAGAGAGGAAGCATGATGTGCAAGATGAAATACAGTTTATGCCATGTGGCAAATGTAGATTAATATAAATGGGTTAATATAAATTCTAAGAGTTAGCCAGTAACAAGCTTGAGCTATTTGCCGAGCATTTATAATTAATAAGAAGTTTCTATGTGGTTATTTGGGGGTGACTTCTGAGACACAGAGAAACTCTGCCTACAAACAGTACCCAAATGTCTAGTAACAAAGATTAGCATAAAACCTGAGAAAGCTTAAAAAAAAAAGGGAGGGGGGCAGTTTCAAACACATAAGAGTGGAGTCACACACGGCTTCTTGGTAACTGCCTTTTCTCAGGTAGCTGTTCGCTAGTGGGCAAACAGAGGCATGGCTCCTTTAAGAGGTGGCTTCATGGCTTGTTCGAGCAAACACAGCAAGGCTCTTTTAACAGGTACTGAACACTTAAATGGGGTTCATGAGCAGCAGGTGGCATGCTACTTGGTAACAATGCGGACCCAACAACTTCCCACAGCTGGAGTGATAAATGTGGCTCCTGCTGGTACCTCTGCCATGAAGCTAAGCTCTTAGGGAGCCAAGGTGGAGGGAGAACCAGCCACCAATGCCATGCACTAAGCTGAGCTCACTGGCTGGCGACTAATACAGCAGTTTAAGGTTTGTCTCATTGATCAAAAACAATACAGATGCTCAACAGAGATAGATCCAGATGGAAAAAAACCTCTAAATGGGTTACAGTGTGTTTAACATGTATAAAGGCTTGAGAGTGAAGAGAAAAAGGGTATAGACAGTCACAAAAAATATATATAGTTTTAAAACAATACAGTCCTTAAAAAGGGAGTAAAATAATATAAAAGAAAAAAGCCACATAATGATGGGAAATAAACAGAGTCTGGATCCCGTATATATTACTGTGCTGTCTTTAAATTTTTTGACTGTTAATGAACAAATGATAACTGTTAAGAAACATTAGATTATGGAAACTGCTAGATTAAACCAACCTATATATTTTAAAAATATCTTGATTTTGAAATGGAAGTCAAAAGGTGTGTTGTTTTGTGAGAGAGCTTATGCTTTTATTTCTACAGGAAATGAGAGGCTGTGGATTCATTACAGATTGATACAGTTCAGATTTGATCGAGGAAGACTCCCTGAAAATCCTGACTACAAACATAAAGAAATAAACCTAAAAAAAAAACAAAAAACAAAAAACAAAAACCTACAAAACAAGTTATTTTACCTGCTCAAACATAAAAAATCATCTTTGACTAACCTGTGTACAACACACAGCCTATACTTGTCTTAATGCAGATATGTATGTTACCTTTAAAAGTTTATGTATTTTCAGAGTAAAGGGACCAGATACCAATAAAAATGGGTGGCCCAGGTGATCCAGCATCTCAGAGTGCCTCTGTTGCAGTTACCTTGGAGTTCTGCATCCAGAACAGCTTCAAAGCTGCTGGCTGAGATGATCCAGCCTCACAAACTATTTCAGCCAAGACTTAACCATTATCCTACATTTTCTCAGGGTCCCTCAAAGATGCCAATGCCCCTAGACAATAGGAAACAGTCTCGAAAAAACAACACCCATAGCCCAAAAGATGGGTTATGGATGTTTAATATCATTTAAGGGGTGTTGGTTACAAGTTGTTACTGGTCATAGTAAAAAAAAAAAAAGGCTAAACAAAAGAGTTAAATTCAAAAATCTCTTTCTAAAGGAAAAAAAGAGGAATATGATACAGGAATAACAGGAAAAAAGGATAGATCATTGAATCTACTTTAATCCAAAATCAACCATTAATCTCAAAATATTTTACATTGGTTTGAATTGTGGTTTATTGATATAAATTTAAAATTAATTTTGTTATACTGTATGTATGCAATTCTTGTTTAGGGTATTGTGTGTATGCAGTTCATTTAAAAATTTAACATATAATTAAATACAGGTTAATAGTCATATATATGTGTAGTATAGTCATCTATAATAATGTATAATTAAGAAATACAGATTAATAGTCATCTATAATAGTTAAGTTTATAGTCATGTTAGGTATGTTTTTAAGGTCATACACAGATATATTTAGATAGGTGGTCTTTAAACACTTCAAAGACCTACAGAATATGGCATTTAATATGTTTAATAACCTGAGGCTTTTCATGACAGTGAGATACATCTGCTCTTGATAGCACCAATTTACTTCAAAGGAAGATGATGGGCATAGAAGAACCTCAAATGGAGTTTACTTTCTTGACGGCAAAAGCTAGCCATTTGGGCAAAGAAACTGCCCTTGCCTCAATTGCTGACAGTATACTGTCCAAACTGGACCAGCAGGAAGCAAAAAGTGACTGCCAAACTTTGCCAAGACAAAAGTAGGACAGTCCTTCAAAATCCCAGCTTCTCAGAAATGTCTGTCAGATACACTAGGTCTGTAGGCCAAAGCTGGATGCCCTAATGTTACAAAAGAACTTTGGGTGACCGTCCAGACAGCCAGATGTCCCTGTTGTTAGGTAACATTTGACCCCTTCTGGGGTCTTTGATGGAGTCAAATAGATAGTCATAGTTGAACTTTTCTTTAGTTATGATAAAAGGTAAATTGGGTATAAAACTTTAGACTCACAAAGATAAATAAGAGCATTTTCTCTAAATTTGCCAAATACAGATAGACTGAATATTGTAACTGTAATTCTTACTTAATAACTGTTTTGTTGTATATAATTTTATACTGTGTTAAAGTTAAAACCTTCTTTTTGAATTAGACAAAAAGGGGGAAATATGGAATATTCCTTTACACTGTGTGAATATCTGTTGCTGTGATTGGTTTAATAAAGAAGCTGACTGGCCAATAGCTGGACAGGATGAGGTTAATCAGGAGAACCAGACTAAGGACACTGGGAATAAGAAGGGCAGAAAGAGAGGAGTTGCCAACCAGACTCAGAGAGGAAACAGGATGTACAAGAAGAAAGAGAATTAACACCACATGGAAGAATGTAGATGAATATAAATGGGTTAATTTAAGTTGTAGGAGTTTGCTAGTAACAAGCCTGAGCTATTGGCCGAGCATTTTTAATTAATGAGAAGCTTCTGTGTTGTTATTTGGGAGCAACTACCAAGGCACAGAGAAACTCTGCCTATACAAGCCTGTAAGGCATTTTCTGTCACTAATTAATGACAGATGGGGGAGGGCCCAGCTCATTGTGGGTGAGGCCATCCCTGGGCTGGTGGCCCTGAGTTCTATAAGAAAGTAGGCTAGGCAAGCCATGGGGAGCAAGCTAGTAAGCAGCACCTCTCCATGGCCTCTGCATCAGCTCCTGTTTCCAGGTTCCAGCCCTGTTTGAGTTCCTGTCCTGACTTCCTCCAATGATGAGCAATGATATGGAAGTATAAGCCAAATAAACCTCTTTCTTCCTAACTTGCTTTTGGTCATGGTGTTTCATCACAGCAATAGAAACCTGACTAAGCCAGCCTGTGGGTTTCCCCAAAGGACAGAGCTTATCTGTGTGACCACTGAAATACTGTAGGAATGGCAGAGTGTGATTTCTGAGGATAGATCCAAGAGGGCACGATGGTTTCTTCTGATTGCTCTCTAGGATTTACTAGTTGTGGGGAAAACCTGCTGCCATGCCCGCCATAAGAGGTCCATGTAGGGCCTCCTGCCAACAGCCAGCCCCTTCCTGCAAACCATGGGAATGAGGATCCCATTACTCCACAGGAGCCTGCAGGTGGCTTTGGCCTTGGCTGACACAAAACTATACACTCATAAGGGACTCTGGGACAAGTAGAGGCTTCCTAAAAGTAACCATGCTATGACAAGCTTAAGGGTATGTGACAGACAACAAATATACTAGGTTAACCGAGGGTGCTAGAATTGGACCCGGTTCTGTCTGAACTCCAATTCTATGTTATCAATTTCTATACCACACTCCACCTGGCATCAGGCTTGTGGCCACCATCACTACTGACTTGGGAGCAGATGTATGAGGCTGGCTGAGAGGTAAGAAGTTTCAGGGTTCTCCTAGAAGAATCTGGAATGCTAGAAAGTTTGCCTCTCTAAGTGCAAGTCTTGATGCCAACTTCATATCCACTTGCCCTCCACGCCAAGGGCTACACATAGCGCCCACCATACCTTACATTTCTGTCCTTGCTCTTAAGCTGCTCTCATGGGCAGTCTCTCAACCTGCAAAAGCCCACTTCTCCACTCTGTTTATATTTATGTTCTCCTGGCTTCCTTCCCACCCTGCCTGGGAAGAGACAGAGCCAACTCCAAGCTCAAGCACTTCACAGACTACTCCCTGGACTGCTGCTGTTTCAGAAGGTGTCCTAAAGTCTTCTGTCGGTCTGCTGTACTAGAACGTAAGCTCTCAGAGCAGGAGCCTTGTGTTCCTCCCTCTGCACCGGGGTCCTGCTTCCTTCTGGAGGGAGGTGAGCTCACCCACCCCCTCTCACTCAAGCTATTCCCACACGTGAAGCTTCCACGGAACTTACCTGGCAGAGAGCGGATGAATTCATAGACATCTTCTACGTTCCACTTTGTGGGCTCACTTGGTAGGAAGTGGTGTCCCATGCCCACCAGGTCCCGCATGTGCATGTCAGGGAGCTCTAGATCCCTCTGGCCTTGTCGCCGTCGGGAGGTGGAGGAGCTGGCTGAGATGGGCGACAAGGGTTCCTCATAGCTTGAGTTATCTGAGCACCGGCTGGAGTCTTCCTGGCTGTGTGTCAGCTGCAAGGCAGCAGTAACTGAAAGAGGTGCAGTGCCTGAGGGCTGGGAGCAGAAAAACAGCGTCTTCAGGATCGGGAACTGACCACCCCACATCAAGGGGCGGGGCAGGTGCTGCTCCCTTCTCTGCCCGGCTCCCACCCTGGAGTCACGTCCTCTGTGTTCCTGCTCTTTAATGTGGACGGCCAGGCCCACGGCACTGCCCCACGTGTGCACCACACTGCAGTGATCTGCTCTGACGTCTGTTCTGCATGCATGTTTTACGTGACTTGGACTACCAAGAGGGGCTTCGTGCGTAAGCACATCCTGGACTGCAGCGTTTAGCAGATTCTTAACAAGACAAAAGTCATCACTGCCACCACCATTGCCACCACCACCACTGACTTAAGGATGAAGATTGCCACCCACACTAAGCTGTGAGTTCCTTTAAGACTCGTCCTTGGATCTTTAGTGTCTAACAGAATCCCTGGCTTGGAACCGTTGGGAAAAATATTTAATGGATGAATATCCGTGTTCCTGATGGAGACCTTCACAAACTCAGTGCTCCAGTTTTCAAGGGGGCAAAAAGGTAGTAGGGGAAGCATAGAGGCTGCCATCTCTCCCAGCCTTATGTGGAGGTAACCTGAATAGCCTGTCTTCACAGGGCCAGCAGGGTGAGACCCAAGAAATCAAGAATGGATGGTGACCCCAAGGGGGGTCATTGTAAGCTAAGACTACTGGAAAGGGAAAGGGCCCCTAGGTCTAAGGGAAGGGCCCTACTGGGGACCCAGGGAAGGTTGGATGTGAGGCCTGTAAGAGGTGAGAGCACCATGCGGGAAGGGGACAGCAGGCCTTGTGAAGTTCAACAGGGCCCTGTGAGCTCTCACCTGCTTCTTGGTGTCCTTAGTAAGTGTGGGCAGACTAGCCTTGCTGGCTCGTCGGCGGTTGTGAGTTGTGGTCCCTGCCTTCTGCAGCTTGCTCCGGTCTGAGTGAAAGAGTCCCACTCGTTTGGTGCATCCCACATTATACCTGTGGAGAGGAGCAAGCAGGTCAGAGCGGGGGCCTTAGGCAGCACCGGCAGCCAATCTGAGCCTGTCTACGGGTACAAACTGACTCGGGACACTGCTGATGAAAGACCCTGGGCAGGCACTTGAGCTCTGAGCCCTTCCTGGGAGGCAGGTGTCATACCAGTGGCCCTTCTAAAACCGGTCTCGTGATGACGTGAGGGAACGCTGGTGACATGTTTAATTCAACCACTCGGGGTATGGCTGCCTCGTGGCTGCCCCACACGACTCTGTCCACTGTCCCACTGGAGTGTGGCCTGGCTCCTTCAGCACAGCCTGGGCCGCAAGCTTGAGGACAGGAACTCCGGGGCATCGCTCATAACACCTCTGCTCACAACACCTCTACCCGGAACCCCGGGGGTTCCTTTCTGGGTTTTGGGCCTTCAAGGCTAAGCTGCTCCTACAGAGCACAGGGCCCATTAGATCCTCAGTCCCCTGTGACTCACCCATCCGCTGTCACTTTAGGCACAAGCACTCTATGCCTTAGTTTCCCCACCGGTATAAAGGGCAGGGCAGTAAGTACGATGGCAACAGCGTAAGAGCTGCCTAGTGGAGATGTTCTGAACACAGACAACCGACCAGCAGCGCCCCGGCACCAAGTCAGTCAGTCTGTCTGCCTGCCTGCCTGCCTGTGTGTCTGTGTCTGTCTGTCTTCCTATCTCCTTTTGTGTTGAGGTGAAACAAGGTCTCCTCAGGTAGACCCTACTATATAATGACCTCATTCTTGACTCAATCCTGCTCAGTCCGTGAGTGTCAGGATTACAGATCTGCAGCACCATGCCTACTTTGAAGTAGCTTTTTTTGTTTTGTTTTGTTTTGTTTTGTTTTTCGAGACAGGGTTTCCCTGTGAAGCTTTGTGCCTTTCCTGGAACTCACTCTGTAGACCAGGCTGGCCTCGAACTCACAGAGATCCGACTGCCTCTGCCTCCCAAGTGCTGGGATTAAAGGCGTACGCCACCACCTTCTGGCTGAAGCAGCTTTTTAATAAATGACAGTGGTTTTTATCATCATCCATTTTTTTTTCCAGGCTGGATAAAAGCTTGCCATGGTTCTGGGCTACGTTTTATTTCTGTGGAGGGCTTTACCCCTAAGAGCGTGGCAGCTGCCCTTGGGGCCCAGCTAATGGGCTGCTTTGTGTTGCTTGGACAGGGATGCTTCCTCTCACATACTTGAGGGAGGGAGGGAGGGAGGGTCTCTTAGGCCTACTGCACTCCCCTGGTGTGCTGGGCACACAGCGCCCTAACTAGGCAGGCCAAGGAGCTTGGAGGACGGACGAGCCTCCCCTACAGCACCCAAGGGAGATGATTACTAGAAGGAAGACACTAGGCACAATCCTGGGGACAGGAAAGGGCTGGGCATGGCAGTGGGGCACGCCACTCACCTCTTTGCACAAGCCATGGAACAGAAGCGCTTGGAACGCTTGAACTTGTAGGCAAAGTCCACCCGTCCACAGAGCTCACACTTGAGTTTGAGGGGGGTACCTTCCTCTTTGGATTCTGTAAAGTATGGAAATGGCTGAGTGTGGGGAGAGATTGTGATAGGCTGTAGACAGTCCTACCACAGGAGCTCATTCATATCCTGCCTCTTCAATGTCTCTGTGGCTATGACACCCGGTGGCATCCATTTAGAAAATGACAGACTTTGCCACTCCTTTGGCACGGGCTAGGTCCCCCACTGGAGAGTTCCCAAGAGTGTCTGGTGACGCCTCTTGCAAACTGTGGGCCAGGGCAGAGTCAGCACCTTCTCCATGACCAGGAAAGAAGCAGGAGGCTCACACAAGCCTGGCCATGGCTGTGTCTCAGACCTCCCCACCTCAAATTCAGGGGGGGGGCACACCTGCCTGGTGCCATCCTTACCCTCACTTCTAGAACCTGGCAATGGTCCTATAGGAAGTGAAGTTCTGAAACCATGTGGTTGCTGGAGAGGCTCTCCCTTCTCCTGTCTGTTCTACAGGGACAGAGGTGGAGGAGGTGCTGGTGACGTTTCAGTGGGAAGGAATGGTACTTGGTCCCTGCTCAGGGTTCCTCCATAGACACTAAGAAAAGGGAAGTGTGAGGCCTGCCCTTGTGCCTGCAGAGAAGACCCGAGTCCCCAGCTGGTGCATACCTTGCAGGTAGGGCTCCTCCATCTCGGAGTCAGTGGTGGTGGTGTGGTCCTGCTGTGGAAGCTTCTCAGGCAAGAACCCCTGTGCATACTTCTTCTTGAGATTCCCCACCAGCAGGGACGAGCGTCCCACCTAGAGGACAGGTGACATGGAGGCCACAAGCGTTAGATCCTAGACTCCTTGCTACGCAGCCTTATTATAATTACAGGTACAAAGTAGCCAGGCAGATCCCTCAGCCCTCCCCAAGCCTCCCACATGCCATCATCCAAGGGTGCCCACTCAACGGGCACTGATCTGCTGCCTGGCTCCCAAAGCAAGAAAACAGTGGGCACCTCAGTAAGGGGACAGTACGGGCCAGCTCCAGAAGTCAGGGGTATTCTATCTGCCAGGTGTGTCCAAGGGCAGAGATCCTATTTCGCTTACCACTCACTGATCTGGTGCCAGGCTGTATGTTCAGAGAGCACCAGGACTGGCAGGGCTGAGTTCGAGAGTGTATTTACAAGACTCAGCATCCATGTTTTGATTTTGTACTGTTCTCTACCTGACCACAGCCAAGCCAGAGGGACAGGCAGCCACAGGGGTGAGCAGGACACAACTGACCCCTGCCACAGAGGACATGCCCTATGGTTGGCAGCACCCAAGGATGGCTTTACCTCTTTGGGGCCTTGTTTTGTTTGGGTAACCTGGTAGCCGGCTCACATGGAATGTGGCTCGAGGAGGATGTGAGCTGCTGTTCTATCTGCCTTCATTCTGCAGGCTCAGGGTTTCTCCAGAGGCAGGAGGAGCACCAGATTGGGGTGGAGGGGTGTGTGTGGAGCAGAGCTAGGTCCTTATAAGGTAAGCCACTCCTGGGAGATCTGCCACTGGCGGCAGCCAACCTCCAGGAGAGGGCACAAATTAGCTTGTCTGTTGATGGTTCAGAAAGTGGTTCACCCACTGAAAAAAATAAGCTCAGTCCTCTGGTGACTTATAAGACTTTCCACAAATCCAAAGCATGAGCCACAGGCAGACGGTACCCCAGGGGACAAGGTTTCTAATACACACAGTCCTCCTGAGCCACATGTGCCCTTTCTGAAGGCCCCTGGATCTCACTCACTCCCTTTTCAAGGCTCCCAGAAGCACATCTCAGGCTGCACTCCCATGCCACCATCTTGATTTCCAACACAGCTCGAGAACTCTGTACTAATAGGCTCCTTTTGCTAACTGGCCGAAGTTTTGCTGTTCAGGTTTTGGCATTGAAAACTCAACAAAGAATAATTTTCCAAAGTCAACTGTCCTTCATCAAATACCCCAAGGTGAACTAGGTCCCTCTACTTCAGGGGTCACAGGTCACCAGCCAGCGATACTGCTGAGCCTGTGTGCATAAACTTCTAACCAAGGGGGTCTTGACAATTATTCTTGATCACCAAGTCATTTTAGACTCTGGAGAAACTTGATCCTAGAGAGAAATTATTCTGACATTGTGAAGGATGGGGGAAATCAGCAAGGTAAGAGCAAACTGTTCACATTTTCAGAAATTTTACATGGAATTGTAGAAATATTCTAGTACACATCCAAAATATATTTAAAAAAAAAAAAAAGAGGGGAAAAGAAGTAGTCCGTACCGGGAAAGGCTCCGCCCCCTCCTGGATCACAAACCCTTCGATAACATGCGTCAGGATTTGGGGTTTCACAATGGCCTGTGGTGGTTTATTCTCACCATTCTGGGGGGCAGTGCCGGCGATGCTGGAGGCAGAGTTTCCGTTCCCTGAGGTCATGCCGGGGCTGCTGAGGTCGGTCAGTGCATGAACAATGCCCTGCCCTGTCTCTGCAGGAGAGAAAGAGAGGGAGGGAGAGAGAGGAGACAACGTGGCAGAGATGAGTACAGAGGCCAGCTTGGAGATGGACAACCAGCACCCACAGTATACACAAGCCACAGTGCCAACCAGGTGCTCCCTCCCTCCAAGACCTAGTTACAAGGGGTCCAGCTTCAGTGGGCACACCACCCAGTGTAAGTGTGATCAGTTTTGTAACCATCGGCCTCGGCAGCTAGTAGGTTTTCTTAAACAGCTATTCAAGCCAGATCCAAACGGGCTGAAGAGGCCAGAATTCTGCCCCTGGGGTGTAAGGCTTCAGGCAGTACTGGGTTAGACAAGCAGTACTCAGTTTACAGAGAACTCCAAATAGTGATGAAGAAGACCAAGAAGCTCCACTAAACACAGGCTCACGGTGTAAGAGAGCAACGTGGTGGACAGATGTGATAGGAACCTTCTGAGTTTCCTTGGAGGTCAGATTTTAACAGCACCCCGAAACGGATGCCCAGGACCCTTGGGGGCTGAAACACCAGCAGACACTATCCTTTGGAGGCACTGACTACGTTACGGGGTTATTTTCTCCTCCAACGTTGAACTGCTGGTACAGCTGTCATTTCTCTCTGCTGATCCCTGCTCTTCATCATACCTCCTGTTCAGAGTGCAGTACACACTCCAGTAGCCTCAGCAAACCACAGACCCACCCCCACCTCTCTGTGGACAACCTTCTTAACGGCTCCTTTGGAAAACTCAACACAATGCTCCAAAGAGTGGGATGGGTGCTTCCCCAGCCCGTCAGGGTGCCCCCCCCCGCTCTTCTGCCTCATCTCCTGAGTGATGTGCCTCACTGCTGCAGAGGCGTGAGGCTTCACCACCTCATTTTAAGAGCCCTCTCCCCAGTCCCCTTCCCAAGGTTGCTCTCTGTCACCACCAAGTGCTTGGTAAGCTGAGGTGCCTTTAACCTGGAACTTCCTAAAAGAGAAAAATGGAAAATCCATTTCTTTATTGCAACATGCCTATTAAATATTAAGCATAAGCCAGTGGTATATGATAAACAGAAACAGTACTAAAATAATAAAATAAAAAATAACTGCAGTACATTGTTACTTAGGTAATTTCTGTACAACATCTTCTATGAAGATGTTATTTCATGTTAAGGACCCAAAATATTCCCAGGAAATGGGAATTCATGGTGTCTAATCATGTACACAAGGAAATAAAAACAGAAACATTTTAGCAACCATTTCTAACTGGGCTCCGGTGTATTTCCAACGTGGTTCCTTTTCTTACTAGCAGCCCTGATTCAGAAAACCAGGAGCAACCCTTCCTAATGAGAAAGCACAGGCTAGGACATGCCTTCGGCCCTCGTTCTAGAGAAAGAACCCACTAGGAACGGACCCCAGAGCTGAGCAGAGGCCACCAGGAGATGTGACTGATGTGGGGCTGGTGAGAGGGCTCAGTGAGTGACGACAAGCTCTGACCTGAGTCTGGTGCCTCGAACCTTCGGTGTAAAGAGAGAACGCACTGCGTGTCCTCTGAGCACCACAGCTGTGCCGGGTGACAAGGGCAGGCCTGCACTTCAGTATGCAGCCTGCCTGCATGCTTGCACAGAAACGCACACAATCATTTTTAAAAATATTAAAAAGTTCTCTGTATTTGACCCAAACTCATACCAGCAAGTTAAAAAACAAAACAAACAAACAAAAAAAAACCACCCTTTATATGTCTGTGCTAATGTGAAATAAATTTTAACAGCTTTGACTTTTCTGTAGAAAACCAGAGACAGTCCCATTTTCTCCCTCACCCCCCAGCTCCACCCTCCACCCCCTGCGCACCAAGACAGGGTTTCTCTGTGTAACAGACCTGGCTGTCCTGGAACTCACTCTGTAGACCAGGCTGGCCTCGAACTCACAGAGATCTGCCAGCCTCTGCCTCCCAAGTGCTGGGATTAAAGGTGTGCGTCACCACCCTGGCTGGAAATCCTCCCTTTGGAATGCGTCTTTTTTTCAGTAAAAGTGTTTAGAAACTGAATTTTTTTTTTTTTTTTACAATCTAGCATAGTCATGATCGAGCTAATGGCACAAGCGATCAAACCAAGTTTCTCTTTTAAATTTTCAAGTCTGTTTATTCTATTTTCCTTGCTTTTATTTTCTAATATTTTGAATACACACAGAAATAAATATAGATTTTATTTAAAATGGTGGATAAATATTGTTCAAATATAAAGCTTACAATGAAAGCTGAACGCTACATTTAGATGGCTGATGCCTCCTAACTAAAGCCCAGTGAGACAGTCCCTGAGGATCTGAACACACTGTGGGTCACAGCACAAGATCGGCTCCAGTCTCTACCAATGCTCCCACAGCCTCTACAGTACCCCCGCCCAGTGACTTCTAGCATGGCTGTCTGAATGCTTCTAGAAACAGAGGAACTAATTCTGAGGTACCTACTGCTACCTTGGGGAGTATAATCACAAAGTTCTTCCTTAGAATGAGCCCCAAGTCTGTCTTCCTGCTAATTTTGTCATTAATCCTGGCTATGTTCCTTAAGATCGGAGGCCGAGTCTAATCGGATATGTACACTGAGCAAACACAGGTTTAGCAAGGCTAGGGACTGTCTCCATTAGCGAGGGGGCCACGCCAATCCTGGGCCTCTAGCCTGTTCTATGGGACCTACCTTAACGTGACTATCACATGTGCATCTCAGAGAGAGAGTTTTGGTTCCTCTCTGTCTCTCCATCTAGGGACAAGGGTCTCACCAGTTGCCATGGCCAGCCTCACACTTGAGACCCTCCTGTCTTGGCCCTCCGTGGCTCTTCCAGCCTCCTAGTGCCGGGCTCACAGCTGTGCACCACCACACTTGGCTACTGTTTGCTTCTGAACAGCCCTAGTCCTGTCTGAGCGCAGGCTGAAGAAGCATCGGTCACTGACACTCATCTCCAAACTGCTCCTGACACCATCCCCTTCTGTGGGCTCTTTCTAGCCCTGCTCAACTGCAATGTCCCTGGCTCCAACCCCTTCCTTCCTGTTGTTGGCCTGTGCTGTGGATGGACGCTGTCGGGCAGAGGTGGCAGTCTTCAGGCTTTCAGCAGAGGTTACAAATCAGTGCTCACTTCTGGGAAGCAAGGACTCTGATATCGTCAGCCTTTTTTTCTTTTCTTCTTTTTTTTAAGATCTTATGATGAGAAGACAGACAAATCATCTCCTTCACACTGACACCAGAAGTTCTAGTCTAGTCTCCGTCATCACCCTGGGACAGATAACAGGAGGAGACAGAATCCCAGGGCAGAGGACGGCGCTCACAGCTGTCTGGCTGCCTCTGCCTCCATCACCAAGCCCTAGAGTTCATCGCCTGCTTTAGTAAAGAGTTCGGGCTATTTCTGGAAGGACCAACCGGTCTCACCCCCTGCCACGCTCAGCACATGGAGATTAATTTAATCTGCTTTCCACTCTCCCAGACTGCTTTGCGGCCTGTTTGGGGGAAAGCCGCTTTGACAGTGAAACTTGCAGGAACCCGCCCTCCTGGCCTGAGGCAAAGAAAAGAGACAAAGAAACCCTGTCTTTGGAATTCAGTTCCTCAGTGCTCCCCAGCTGGCGGCGGGGTTCCCACAGGTCTCAGATGCCCTCCTACAGTGAGCACCTCAACAGAACGGTGGGTGCCCATCGGTGCTCATCTAGCTCCAGGGGCTGGAGGAGGAAAGGGACCGAGCTGTGCTGGGAAGAGGCCGGCTGGAACTCCTCTAAGTGGACCACAGATGGACCACTAGGATCCAGTGACCGAGTCTTACTAAGCATGTGATCAGCCACCAGGCTGCTTCTCACTGCTGATCTCATTCACTGGCTCCCACAGAAACAGCTCTTCCGCAAGAAGGAAAAACAGGGAAGGCCTGCCCTGTGGGACTGTTTACACTACTGCTTTGTAATCATCCTCTTTGGGACTGGTCACTTCTGCTAACCGAGGCGGGGCTGTGACCCAGTCACCTCTCTGCCCACAGGGGCTAACCCACTATCCAAAATATGACACACGCTTAAGGCCTATAAAACTGCAATGAATTATAATCATAACATAATAAAAACAAATGATAAACTCAAGTCTTTGTCATCACCATAAACAATATAGGTCTCCTTGGAACTACAAAGAGATCTGCCACAGGTGAGATTCAAAACTCCCTGGGGCTGTGACAAGGAGCAGCGCAGCTGGTGTCTACTGTGGAAGTGGCCTTTCCGTGGACCTGCCCTTAAATGACAGCTGCCATTCTTAGCCCAATTTCACTGTCACTGTGGAGGATTTCCTCAGCAGAGAAGAGTTAGTGCACCAAGCTGGATCCAGAAACTTGGCAAGGCAGGATGACCTCTAGAGGCAAAGAAAGTCAGGGAGGCTTCTAGAAAGACACTTTCCAGTCGGCTGGAGAGACCAGGCTCACCCTGTCTTGATAAGCCTGGCCAGTTCAGAACCAAGTCCTTCCTACGTAGAGATGACAAATAAACCATCTGTTATTCGGGAATGTGGGAGGTTTGTGACCGTGCGTGCGTGCGTGCGCGCGCGTGCGTGTGTGTGTAAACCAGAGGTTGACACTGGGTGCTCTGGCTGGCTACAGTATGAGAATAAGCTAATGAAATGAACAGAGAGCTTAAGGAAACAGCAACAGGAACACGGCTCGGGCAATATCAACACGAGGTCACCTGTAACAGCACCGGCTCAGGCTCAGCACTGCACTCAAGCTCTGGGCTCCAGCTCAGCCTGTTTGAGAGTGAATTGGAGCTCCTGCCAAGGCCTGTGAACCTGCATCCAGGAGACAGCGGGAGGCCACACTTGGTCCCAGCAGCAGGTCACCTTACACAGAGGAAAGGCAGAAGGGCTAGGCCTGTGGAGAGGTACGGGCCACCCTTCCTAATCTCTTTAGTTGTATCTGGACCCCCAAAGAAATGAGTGGTACTGTGAAAGTGAGGGAGGTGTCCCTTTCCAGGAGAGAGCCGAAGAAGGGCATGGCGGAGGGGTGGGCTGGAGCTCAGTCCAG